GTTGGATGTGATCTGTATTGATGTAATGAAACACTTGTTGTTTTTCTCTTCTTGTATTGATGTTCTTCGATAAAACACTTTGATAAAACTCACTTTGATAATACTGACTGATTGACTTCCATATACTGACTGAATTACATGTCGGTTTACATGTCTCTTGTATAGTAAAATGAACCTGTGTGAACCTGTTCTGGAAGATTCTGGATGCTTCTTTTCGATGCCTCTGGAAGGTTCTGGATACGTCTGGATGCTTCTGAATGCTTCTGGATACTTCTGGGTGCTTCTAGATGTTTCCAGATGCTTCTTCTGAAAACTTTTGGAAGCTTCTGCATGCTTCTGGAAACTTCTGGATTTTTCCTTTAATTATTAAAAAACTTCCGTGACGTTGAAACGGACCAAAAAAGTTGCACTTGTTTTGTCCGCTGCAAAATGGCACTTGTCAACGAAGTTCTGCTTGTGTCCTGTCACCTGTCAGCTGATTGCTCATGTGATGGCATGCTATGACTCCAGACTCCTGAACTGTTTGCTGTGGTAGTATAGTTCGTTTCGTTTTTAAGACATGTAAAATTAGGAACACCTTTTAGCATTGTTCGATGTTGGTTGTAAATGTTTTGTCCAATACTGTATTTTGATAACATTGTTTCGTTTTACTATATTTTGATAACGTTTCGTAATTTTACGTTTTGAAATAGGAATGGTATCAATCGAAAAAAAACTTTGAATAACAGAGTAAAAAATTATATCGAAGAACCAAAATTTTGAATAGCTGCAGGTTCGAATAACTGATGGATACTTGCTTGAGTTTGTTAAGGAAAATTCACGGGGAAGAAAGATTGCTTCGAGTATGTGGGAAATTTGAATAAGTGCTAGTTTGAATAAGCGGGAGTTTACTGTAGTTTTATGAACATCTGTCACTGTACAGATAGTGCATAGTAGTTTTTATACACCGAACTATCTTAAATATTGATCGATTGGGTACATTATGATTATAAGAGATATTTTCTTTAAACAAAACGTCTCTGTTTTGTTTTTGCTATAAATGCGTGCAAACTTGTAAAGCTTGTTTTAAAAAATTGTTGCTACCTACTTTTCTATTTCCGTTTAAAATAAACGCAGAGTTTTGTAATGAGAAACTTATATTTTAGGGGGCGCCAGCTCTTTTGTTTCAGTGGACCCCGTGGTTTTTGCATATCGAACAAATGTATATAAAAGATATATATATATATATATATATATATATATATATATATATATATATATATATATATATATATATATATATATATATATATATATATATATATATATAATAAAGATATATATAAAAAAAAAACAAACAATAAACAAGCCTCTACGAAATACTTTTCCTTTGATTTAAAAAACTTGACAAGAGAGGTTTTTATGTGGATTCCAAAACGAGGATTACGAATGGCAGAGTTCTCTAAAGAAATTTGCACAAAAAGAAACATATCTAAAAAGAACATCACAATAGCACAAAATATGTACAAGAAACGATACGATATTAAACATTTAGCTCAATCATTTGCAGTTGGTGACATAGTTTTGAAATTCAAAAGACGCAAAGACACACGAATGGGTGATAAGCAGCTGTGGCGCAGTGGTTAGTGTTCTGGCTCAGAACCCAGAGGTCCGAGGTTTGACGCCGGCTCTAACTCAATAAGCCACATTGGTAAGGAAGGAGGCGTGAACCTCTACTTAAATGCTCTCCCGCGGTGCTCCGTGATAAGACCGCAAGAACTTCTGGGAGCACCTAAATAACTTAATAAAAAAAAAAAAAAAAAGATAAGTTAGCTCAAAGATTTCACTGTCCTTACACAGTAATAAAAGTTTTGGACAAAGAAGTTTATTGGTTGCCATTTAAAAAAAGAATATTGAACTAAAGAACTATTGATGCGGTCAATAAAATAGTTTCAATACATTTTGGTAACAAAAATATTCAATCAATTCTTCTAGCTTGGGGACAATCTGGGTTCAAAGCAATCACTTATGAGTCAACCATTGAGTAACAAATGCATGCATTCATGGAAAAGTTTTGTATTTAGATAGCCTTGATTGTTCCGTTTCAAACTATTTTAGAGCTCAAATGAAACAAGTCTTTATTAATCTTCTTAATCCCGAAGGTTTTCTTCCAGTTATAACACATGCGCACTACAACCAAATACATCGGACTGTGGTGTTTATGTAGCAGCTTAGTTTGGCAATTTATAGAAAAGATGGTATAACGCAGACATTTGAAATCAAAATGATGCGTTCTCATCTCATTCACTGTTTATAAACATTAATCATTACACCTTTTTCAAAAACCGTCTCACGTAATAGTAATATTTATTGCTGTGACAATTACATATTTGTTTAAATATAAATATTTAAAAATAAAATAATTTGTGGAACGCGATGCAATCATCGGGTTATAGACAGCCCACACAAATTAAAAAAACACAAGTTATGAAAAATGTTTATCTATTCGCGCTTTGAAAACATTCAACGATGTTGCTTCAATGATTTCATTTGGTAACAAATTCCAATTTTTACAAACTCGATTGGTAAAAAAATTATATCTCGGTAAACATGATGGTACGTATTCTCTTTCTAGCCTGTATTTATTGCCCCTTACAGAAAAAGCCGGGCCTGAACTAGTCACGGATGATGCCGGTTTTGGATTTTTGTACCAATTTATTTGGCCTATATTTTGCTTGAATCTGTATTGTTGTATAAGATCTCCTCTAGCTCGTCTTTTCTCTAATGTTGTTAAACCCATTGCTTTCAGTCTTTTTTCATATGAAATCTTTATAAGTTGTGGAACTAACGTAACCTGGACGCAAGTAGGCGATGCAAGTTATCAACATTTAAAACAAGTTAATTTATATTTATTTAAACAACTTAATTTATATTTATTTAATAATGAAAGTAGCATAACAATAATTAAAAAATGTTTTATCAAAAAAACAAAATTTTAATTAAAAATTTTATCGGGGGAATATTTATTACGGCGGGAAAAAAATGTTTATTCTAGAATAAATTTTCCGGGGAGAAAGTTTGTACCGGTACATACTTTCCGACGGAAAAAAGTAATGTTTGATTAAAGTTTGATTAAAACTAATGCAAAACAGTCACATAGAAATAACGTCTATATGAAATAAGATACAAGAAGAAATGAACAAGCCTTAAGAAGATACACGTTGTCAAAATTTAGGAAGCAAATTTTTAAAAGACTGCAAGACTAGACGGAAATGTTTTTCTATTGAAAATCTTTAAATATATTAAAGACAAACTTTATAAAGTTATTACAAAAAGAATATTTTTCGAAGATGCTAATATGATGTGAGATGCTGTCGATAAAAATACAAAGAAAAAACTTTGAAAAAAAAAATAATAAATATGGAGGAACACGTAGTCATTATTTGCAGAGTGTACAATTTTCTAATGTCTATAAAACCTACTAGTGTAGAAATAAACCTTGCTTTTTTTGCGTCCAGACTTTTTGCAACTTTTTAGTTGCAAAATATAAATTGTTAGGGTAAAAGAACTTTTGGATGTAATTTTAAAATAACCAAAAATAATTACATACTTATTTTATGTATTATAAAGTAATCTTTAAAAACAATTGACTTTTCATCATTTAGTAATCAAGTATGTATAACATTTAAAACCAATAAATTTCTTTATAACTTGGTATATAATTTTTTGTAACTTATATATGAATATGTCATATTGCTCAATCTCTTAAAATCATGTCATATTGCTCGATCTCTTAAAATTTTACTAAAATAATATATTAGTATCTTTCAAAAAAAGATATTTTAAAATCCTGTGTTCAAAATCGGGATCCCGGGACTAGATATATGTAGTTCTGAAATCCTGAGATACAGACCCTAAGATTAATGTAATGATTAAATTTCAGATATAATTTATTTTAAAAATATTTTATATATTTTACTGAATTATGATCATTTCTACAATTTTAGAAAAGTTGCACAAAAAGTAACATTTTCTGAAGTTGGGACTAAAATGTGTGTGTGTGCGTTCGTGTGTGTGCATTTAACTATTTTTGCAAAAAAAATCGTTGGACTAACTATGCAAATAAAAAGTTCACAAATAGAAACCTTTGCATAACTAATTTTTTGCTTTGTTTTGTTCAGAAAACATGAAATATTACTAACAAACTTTTACAGCAGATAAATGATTAAAGCCACCAATAGAAAAGTTTCACTTCAAAATTTCATTTGTAAACCGAATTTTTTATTATTATTTTTGGTTTAGGTACATAAAGGTAATCAAAAAACATAATTCCTAAACAATTTTAAAAATCTAAATGCGTTTATTTACACAACGTTAATCAAACTTTTAGTGTTTTTTTTTAACTTCAGCAAAAATAATGAAGAAAATGAATAAGTAATTTATATATAAATACATACATGTATCTATATCTAAATATATCTATATATATATATATATATATATATATATATATATATATATATATATATATATATATATATATATATATATATATATATATATATATATATATATATATATATATATATATATATATATCTATATATATATATATCTATATATCTATATATCTATATATCTATATATCTATATATCTATATATATATATCTATATATATATCTATATACATATATATATATATATATATATATATATATATATATATATATATATATATATATATATATATATATATATATATATATATATATATATATATATATATATATATATATATATATATATATATATATATATATATATATATATATATATATACACACATACACACACATATATATATATATATATATACATACATACACACACACACACACACACACACACACACACACACACACACACACACACACATATATATATATATATATATATTCGCATATCTGGATATATTTTTGAACATTCAAATATAACTCTAACAAATAAAAATGTTACAAAATAAAGTATTAAAAATCAAATCTTTAAAATTAAACAATATTTACAGTGGGCCCTTTTTTAATGAACATGTATCACAAACTCTACAAGGGTAATTCCAACCTCGACTAGGTACAGGAAGTCTGTTTTTAGAACAATCGTCACAAAATCCTTTCCCGCAACTTCTACAATGATGTTTTGACTGATTATTCGTAAATGGTTGTTTGCAGAGTGAACATTCTATTATATCTGAATCAGGTACCCAATAGTAAGGTCTTGCTGAATCAACAATATATTCTAGTGGTAATTCAAGCGTGCTGGTCAAATATGATAAAGTTGATTGGACAGTTTCAGTAACTTTTCGTGTTGTAACAATATCAGGAGGATGCCGGACAGGAATATTATTGCTGGTTTTCACAGACACCATATCTCCAGTTTCCAACATAGGATCATCGTCAATTGCTTCAAGCAGTTCACTGCATAAACAAAGTTTACTATACAAATAAATCAATAACAAGTAAGTATAAGTAAAACTTTGAATAATTTTACCTTAAGTCAATATTTTCACCTTTCGCATTAGCTTGATCATCTAAACCAGACTTCTGAAAACAGGGCCCACAAACACGAACTGGAGTCTCACCCCAGCCTCTATCTTTACATGGAATCCGATGTTGAGTACAGTTATCACAAAAACCAAAACCACATGCTCTGCAATGGTGTTTTTTTTCAATATCATCAAAATCATGACCACATGTTTTGCATTCCTAATAGTAACAAAAAATATAAAAATGTTAAAAATAGGTAAGCAAAAAAATATTTTAATAACAACAATTATAAAATAAAAACATTTACATTACTAATAATAATTGCAACAACAACAACCCTCACATAACCCTGTTGTCATTGTCCTGGTCATAACATGACCAGGATAATGTGACCCAACTGAGCCTAGGCAGGTGAGGCTCTTTAGCTATGTGAAGGTAACTTCAACTACACTGATATTAAAAAACTTAAATGTTTTGTAAGAGTAGGAGAAGCTTGTAAATCTTGTATGGTAACCTTCTTAGGTTCCTTATCATACCTGTTATACCGAACCATAATGTATAGAGACCAATGTAGATGCCCAACTATTATTATATTATAATAATGATGACAATTTACTAAAATTGAGAAAATTTACTAAATTAAAAATTAATTATTTTATAGAACAAACTGTGAATGTACTTTTTTTTTTTTTTTATATATATACTGTTGCTAGTATTTTTTTAATATTATTTTAGTTTTTTTATACTTTTTAGTATTTTTTTAATACTATTGTAAACAAGGCTTGTTTACAATAGTATTAAAAAAACAGTCTACTTACTTAATAAATTTCCTTTTAACAACTCTTTTTTAAAATGCCTCTCTGAGATCAACCCAATGTCTCAAGTCACAAAGTTACAGAAAGAATGCTAAAAAAAACTCCTTCCAAAAAAAAAAAAAACTTTCTTTCCCACTGTAGATATAAATAAAAGTAAAATTATCAAGGCATACCTAGGTATATATATACCCCATTCGAGACAGCCCTGTTCCACAAACAAGGCCGTCCTAAACATGGGTATTTTACCCACCCCCCAAAAGCTGTCATATAAGCATTTGAGTTAACACATTGAGCAAGTTTTGAACTATAGTTGGCAAATTGCAAATATTGAGGACCTTTTTTTTTTTTTTAGGTGTCTCTAGGTGGCCAAAAAAAACACCACTTCCCCCATGGAAGACCTCTTGCTTTAATTATTTTTTACACTTAAAAACTTCTGCCCACTAAAACATAAGGGCTTTCCATCAGCAAACATGGGTTGAAGTGCTATAACTATTTGAAGTTGATTCCATTAAATACTACTTTATTTATATCTACAGTGGGAAAGAAATGTGAGTTTTTTTAAAATTCTCTCTGTAATTTTGTGACTTAAGACATTGCATCGATTGCAGAGAGGCATTTTAAAAAAGGGTTGTTAAAAGGAAATTTATTAATTAAGTAAACTTATGATTCACGGTAAGCATTTTGCAAGGTCTTAAAAAACAATGATTTGAAGTCAGGATTTCAAATATTTTCCACCATTACTTCCGAGGTATATGTAATTTGAAAGGTGATACATTATTTTATCTTTTAGGTTTACAAATTTCAACTTTGTTCCTGTTATATCTTTTATCAGCTTTGGATTAATAAAACAAATTGTTTTCACCTGATTAATTTGCTCATAAATTCAATGGACTAAGGGTTCTTTTTGTTTAAAAATTAAAATAAATGATTTAAAGATAGGAAGAATTTCAATGCACAAATTAATATAAAACAAGGTTTGATTAAATCAGAAAAATAAACTTTTAACAATTCTAGCATTTCTTTCTGCACCTTGTTTTGTTTCTGCTTTTTTTTTGCTGCTTTTAGATTTTACTTTTTCCATTAGTTTTTTACTTTCATTTGATGCCATTTAAATTTTGTCATTTCATCTCTATACAGAGAGATGTCCTGTTTTGATAACCAAGAAGAATAAATTAAGGTGAAAGCAGGTATCATCTTAAGCATAGGTAGAGCACAATCTAAAACAGATGAGAAACTCTTGGCTTTGGAGTGTTGTATGTGACACCTATGATTTTACAAAACTTTTTTATAAATGTGCAAAGATCTGGGCTAAACTTAAAATCAATGTAGATATCATCCAGTAAAATTTCAGCTACCTTGCCAAAAAAAGAAGTAAACGTTTAAAAAAAAAGTGTGCCATGATAACAAACATCACCATCAATATCAAGTAAGCGAGGAACCACTTTTCTTAATCTTGTTTTAAACCCACTGATTTTTCACCTCATATAATTGGTAGAATCTGATAAATCGGAAACTAGATTACTTAATGGAATTGCGTAATGGTTAAACAAATGAATAACAGCATTAAAAAGATCTTCAGCGTTTACCATCACAAGCAACAATGATGCGTAGTGTATAATACAAATTTATTAGCTTTATCGCAAAAATATGTTACGAGTATACTAAGAACTTTCTTTTGCTGAGAAGCACTTATCTAAAACATTTGTTTGCTAACATTAATAATAACTTTAACTTTCTGTTTTTGAAGGTATTTAAATTTTTTATTATCAAGTCACAATTTATGTCAATCAATTTGATTTTTTATTTTTTCTATACTTACTTCTTATTTCATTAGCGAAAATGTTTTCTAAAATTATAATGAAAACCAGGTCATTTTGGAAAACAAATTTTATGATGTGTTAGGAACTACTCAACATTTTTGGCTGATTTGGTGGATTTCTCACAAAATGTTTTTTCATAAATAAAAATCAATGTTGAAAAATGGAAAAATTTTTGATATACTCATTTGTTTTTTTTTAATATATTGTATGAAAATAAATATGTAAAATAAAAAACAAAAAAAAGAAAAATAAATTATAAATTACTTAATAACAACAACAACAGTTTCAAAAATAGTGACAAAACTAATAACAAATAATATAATAATAGCAATATAAAACTAATAATAACAATATAACAATAATAATTACTATTATAATTATTACTATTGCTACAATATGGTTTTATTTATTTACTCAAGAAATGTTAAAAAAAAAGTAACTTACTAAAATTAAATAGTTTGGTGTCCAATATGAAGGAGCAACTTTATCAGTTATCCAATTTGTAACAGCTTTAGCTGGCTTTGCACTCATGTCAGTAATAGCTGAGGCAAAAACATTCATGCCATCCAAAAATCTTCTTGCAGCATTTTGATGATTATGAGGGAGACATGACTAAAATATAAAACAAAAATAATTGATATAAATATTGAAGAGACATTAAACATAATCTAATTATCATCATTTAATAAGTATTATTATCTTAAATCAAATAAATTACTAACACCAGGCCAAACATGCTTGATTTCAGTTCGAACAGAATTCTCTACAGGATCACGATTTCCATACCAATACTGTCTGCTTCGGTATATCACACCACATTGGGGACATTCTAACACATATCTAAAAATATTTTATAAACCTATTTTAAATTTCTGTTATGAAAGCACTATAAATATTGGAATTACTATCTGGCTGTTTCTTTCTAAGCTGTTTAAGTGTGGTGGGTAGAAAATACTTGAGTTTAGTAGAAAAATAACTGTGTTATGGCCAAAAAAATTGACTAAATTCAAATAACTTTTCAAATAATTTTATATTTTTATTGTTGAAAAATTACCAAACAGAATGTAATTAATGAATATAATGAAACACTTAGCAGATTTTATTCAAGATCATTAGTTTCACATAAATATTTTAAAATAAAACTTCTTTTTATGGACTTAAATTTATTTGTTAAAAATACTCAACTCATAAAACTTTGCTTATTTCAATGATATTTTTGTTTGATCAATAAGATTTGCGTAATGGAGAACTCAGACCCAATCAGAATCTCCTTCATAGTGATTCTCATGGAATCTTGTCTACAATTCCATAAAAATAATGCAATTAAAATGGCATTGACAATAAATCTTGCGCTTAACCTAAAATCATTTTTAAGATACATTAACAATAGCCATGCAAGATATCTTAACATCAAACAAGCAAAAAAATTCTAAGACATTTTAAACCAACAACATCCTACCATACAATATATGAAGTTTTAAACCAACAACATCCTACCATACAATATATGAAGTTATAAACCAACAACATTGTACCATACAATATATGAAGATATAAACCAACAACATCGTACCATACAATATATGAAGTTTTAAACCAACAACATCCTACCATACAATATATGAAGTTTTAAACCAACAACATCCTACCATACAATATATGAAGTTTCAAATTAACAACATCCTACCATACAGTATATGAAGTTATAAACCAACAACATCGTACCATACAATATATGAAGTTTTAAACCAACAATATCAAACCATACAATATATGAAGTTTCAAATCAACAACATCCTACCATACAATATATGAAGTTATAAACCAACAAAATTGTATCATACAATATATGAAGTTTTAAACCAACAACATCGCACCATACAATATATGAAGTTGAATTCAATTGTTTATTGTATGGTAGTTGTATATTGTGCAAACAAGACAAAAACACTTGACTCTCTTGATATAAAAACTATAAATAACACAATAGGAAAATATGAGTACAAAGTATATTGATAAGAGGCCATTACTAACTTTCAGATTAAACTGCATTCAAATCATGATCCAAATATTAAAACCACTATAATTAAAGGATTTCTCCACAGAGCTTACTCCATCTGTAGTAAACCTTATTTTGAAAACGGTACAATGAAAAGCAAAAAGACAGAATAAAAACACAATTCCAACAATAGTTTTCCTGTATTGTCTTGATCATGGGTACAAGACCTTCACTAAAACTTTGAAAAATATTCCAAAAAGCAGGAAACAGAACAATATTTAAGTCCCAAATTAAAGATCTTTATTAACATCAAAAAAAACAAATCAAAAATACCTAGTAACAGCAAGTCTAGAACTTACATAATAAAATGCAACTGATCCAAAGTTAACGTAGGTGAAACAAAAAGGTAAACACATGGATGCATCAACATCAGAGGAACATTGACAAAAAAAAAAACCTTATCAATCTGCATTAGTATTTCATAAGACCTTTTGCGAAGCAGAGATTATTTGGGAAAAAAGCAAGAACATAAAAAGTATTTTGAAAGAAAAATTAGGGAGGCTTAAAAAAAATATATCTTAATAAAGTTATTAGTATTGAGAAAAAACAAACTATAATAATAAAATTATTATCGAGAGAATATATGTATATATACAGTCCCCTATTAAATTATTAGCCCATTTTCTAAATTTTCTAGAGTTTTGATTATTTAATGGTTTAGGTGCCATTTAAATTGGCTTGCAATGTCTTTATTTGCTGATTTATATTTTTTGGTTTATAACTTAACATTTCAGGCTATTAGCAATATAAAATTATTTCCAGGGCACCAACAATTTCAGAGGGACGTAATGCATCTGCTTAGTTCATAACATTTGTGTTTTATCATTTGTGCTGTTTTACTGTTTAAGTGCAGTAACATTTTTTAAGTATTGTGAGTTAATTGTATAAGATTTATATTATAATACTTTGAACCATTTTTATACAATATTTACGCATTTTGTATACTTTGTTTCAATATTTACAAAACAGTTTTTATCTGTTTTAAAATAGTTTTTAGTAAAAAAATTGTCTAAAAGTTCTAAATAATGAAATGGGGAAAAAAAGAAGACATCAGTTCTGAAAAAAGCAACTATTCAATATCTTCTGATTGATAAGCATTACCCAATAAGTGAAATATCAGGAAATGTGAGACATCAAGACACACAGTGAATCAAATCAAAGACAAATTTAAAAATGGCCTCCCATTAGGTATTCAAAGGCAAGGCAAATGTGGTTGGAAAAAAAAAACACCAAGAAATGAGGGAAAGGTAGTGAAAATAGTGAAAGAAAATAGATTTGCTACATACTCAGCAATTAAGAGCAAGTTGAATGAGGTGGGACTAAATGTAGCAACAATCACTGTTTGATGAAGTTTGCATGGATTGGGCATCAAAAGTAGAAGGCCAGCATAAGAGCCAAAATTAACCAATTCTCAGAAAAAAAAGAGCCTGGATTGTGCAAAAAAAAACAGTAGTTTCACTGTTGATTACTGGAAATCAGCAAGTCATTTTAATACAACAATAGTTTTTTTTTCCTAACATTTTGTATTTAGAGATTATTTTTATGTTGTTTTCTACAGGATGCTTCAGCAATGAGTCTACTATAGAAATTATGACTCAAAAGGCTCGATATGTGAGAAGGACCTCTGAATAATTCCATTAAGATTGCATAATCCAGACAATTAAACATCCTCCTAAAGTCATGTTTGGTCAGTTATTAATGGAGGGTTATTAAAGGCCTTGGTCAACTGTATATTGTGGATAGGGCTGTTCAATTTTGCTTTTTAACCAGTTTCGAAAAGTAGTTTCCTCTGAGTTGGAAAGCTTTGCAAATTAAATGTATAAATATTAGAAAATGTTTATTTAATTATACTTTATTAATATAGTGTAAAGTTTACATACTTTATTTATATACTTTAAGTTTATTTACATAGTTTATATACTTTAGTTTATATACTTATAGTTTATACACATTATTTATATAGTTTAAAGGCAAAAAAAGCAAAAATATCCAACTTTCCAGAAAGTGGAAATGGATTGAATTCTAACTATTTCCAATTTCCAGAAAGTGGAAAGTATTTTAAAATTATTTTCTTTAGGTTTTTACATGAAATTAAATATTAAATTTACTTTGACAGAAGAAGCTGGTATAATACATAAAAGCAGATTTACTTCGACAGAAGATGCTGGTATAATACATAAAAGCAGATTTACTTCTACAAAAGATGCTGGTATAATACATAAAAGCAGATTTACTTCGACAGAAGATGCTGGTATAATACAAAAGCAGATTTACTTCGACAGAAGATGCTGGTATAATACATAGGAAAACCTGATAAATTTTTTTTCAAACAGGTTAGGCATATAACTATCAAGTTTTTGCCCTATTTGGTTTATGTTTAATAAATTTCTATATAAAACTACTATTATATAAATACTACTGCTATAAAACTATTATTTTGACTATAATGCATACGATTAATTAGTTATAATTATTTATATATAATAATTAATTATAATTATTTAATTAGTTAGTTATAATTACCTATATATATATATATAGAATGAGGAAACAAATTCACCGTTAAGTGGGTTTATAGTGACTCAGTAGTTTGATTTTCAAACAGAGACTCTTGAGTTGCCTGAAAAGTTTGAAATAAATCAAGTATCAGATTTTCCACCAATTATTGAACAAAATGAACAAAAGTCAATAAAGTCTTTAAAAAGTTTTCTAGTTGAGTTTAAAAAAGAATTAATAGAGCTGAAAAAAATCGAAGAAAGAAGCAAAAAAAATGCATAATTTTTGGTGGATATACTTTGAACAACTGCTTCTCATCACTATTGTTTTGTATGCCACATTAATAACTAAAAATTTTTAATTTTTTCAGGGTAAGGTATTATTGATACTTATGTACAAAAAAAAATTCTTATACCCACTGGATCAAGATGTCGTAGAGAGCATTTGAACGAAGTTGGATTATTAAATAATGAAGCTTTAAATTAGCTGGTTGTTGTTAAAAAAGAATGTTAAACTAAATGCACCAGAAGTTATAGACAATTATTAGAGATGTTTCAATATTTAGTTCAGCATAGCATTTTATTTTCAAAGTTTTCTGATATTTCAAAACTATATGAACCTGTTTGCCAAAGAATTACTGGATTCTATAGACAACAATTTGAAGAACTAAGCGGAGATTTGATTTCACTCAGAAACACCAGTAATAGATCTGAATCTCAAGTTTTAGCCGTCTTTCTGTTTTGATTAAAAACTTGCCTTGATCATTACATGATAGATGATTATTTTGGCATTGACTCTCATTTTGAAGTATCCCAATATTTGCAGCAAGTTAGAAACACTTTTGTCAAAGATTTCATACTTAATAACTTAGTAGCAAGTCACTTAACAAAAGGTGAATGGTTAGCAAATGACAGCGAATTGGCCTAAGAAATATTTAATGCTAAAAAATCTCAGTTGATATTAGTTGTTGACGGAATATTTAAAAGACTGTTATATTTAAAAGAGCAGCAACAACTACTTTCAACAAAAAACATTCAACAACAATTATTAAAAACATGAAAGTAAAGCTTCATTTAGAGAATAGTTTGGACTTAGGGAAGTTTCCTTTTTATAAAAGATTATTTTTCCCAGTAAACATTTATCTTGTGATATTCCTACTGTTTTTGGTATGTAAAATCACCATTGACCAAGGATAATTAAATAAGGTTTCCTTAAACGCATTAAAATGAAATTTTATTACTAAATTTTATTACATGCAGTTTGTTTGGCGTCTGAAATATATATATTTTAAATTCAATTTAGAAAGAGAAAATAGTAAAAAGGAAAAAATGCTTCTATTTTGTTTGTTTTATAACCTTTTATGCTTATTTTATAAGCTTTTTTTTTTTTTTTGCTTCGGCAAACTCTTTAAAATTAAATAAATAAATTCTATTTAAGTATATAATAATAAAAAAATTTATTAAGTTATCAATGGTAATAAGAATAATTATTTTTTAAAATTAAGAATAAACCAGTTAGCAGTTAACTGCCCTAGTCAAAAAGTCCTATAGGATCCTATAAGAATTAGAAACAAAAAAATTTCAAGATTAAATTAAAACTCATTATAGAAAGTGTTTATAGTTATCCAAGTTTTTTTTGTTTTTTTTTAGTTCCGAAGTTGTAAGGGTCCTTTATGATTTTTTGGATATGGTAAGTCGCCTTGTTTCGTTATAAGTCCACAAATAATTCAGTTAAAAGTATAATAGAGATACTTATGTATCAAACATCTTTGCATAATCAAGCCAGCACATTTAACAAATAGTAACATTTAATAAATAGAGAGGGTTGCTTTTTTAATTTAACATTAAAACTTTTTTTGTTTTTTGAACTGAATAAACTGGAACAGGTCTTAATAAGCTTGAGGTGGTCGAAAATTGATAAAATAGATAAGAATTAAATAATTTATTTAAATGACTTTCCAATGGAAAGTGATTGGAAAGTGTAAGGAAGTAAGGTCAAAGTTAATTAATAGTAATATTATATTACTAACATCCTGTAAAAACCTTAAGAAAGTGATTAATTTTTAAATACTTTCCAGTTCCTGAAAATTGGAAAAAGATTAAACTCATTAAAATTTAACTTTTTTTATAGTAAATAAACTGTATAAATGAAACAATTTATTTTTCATTATAAAAAATGGATTATTTAAAAAATTTCCACTTTCTTGGAAGGTAAGCTAAATCAAATACATTGTGGATGGAATATTAAAACAAGACAATTACAAAAAAGTCATTAAAACCCATCTTTTACCTCAATTGAAGAAGTGGTTTCCAAATAAGCAGAAGAATTTAAAAAAAAGTTATCTAAAAATCTCTAAAAATTCCATTTCTGCAATGGCCAGAGAACTCCTTAGATCTAAACCACATAGAAAATGTATGGGAGCTATTAAAGAGAGAAATTTTGTTAGAAAAGGTCACAAACAGGACTCAATTGATTGATAAAGTTATTTAGTATTGGAACCAAAATACACATTTGAAAGAAATGGCTTTAAATTGCATTTATAGCATGCTGTCTTCATCAAATTTTGTTTTTGTCAAAAGATAAAAAATACAAAAAATAAAGGATTAACAAAATATTTAAAATTCATGTTAATAAACATATTCTTATTGTTATTTTGTGTATCTTATGTTAGAAAATAGTTATACTTTATTTATATATAAAGTTTTTATCTGTATCTTTAGAAAACATAAGTTTTACCTCCCGCAAAAGTATATATATATATATATATATATATATATATATATATATATATATATATATATATATATATATATATATATATATATATATATTTAAACAATTTAAAATGTATTCTACAAAAAGAGTGCTCAATGTTCTTAAAAGAACAGAGCAATTACAAATTAGTAGAAAATCACTTAGCAAAATTTTTTTCTCATTTTACACTGTGTTTCATCAATAAAGACTATTCAGAAATGAATGATCAAATTAATAAAACTTAAATTTATACCAAAAATTAAATTACAGAAAGTTTGTAAAATACTGCAATTTTGCACATATTTGTGTAATTTGCTGACACTATTGTAAAAAGAATTCTTTAGAAATGATTACTTAAGCTTTTTTAAAAAATAATATATTTTTTTCAAAGGGGAGTTAATGTAACTATTATTTGAGCTATATATATATATATATATATATATATATATATATATATATATATATATATATATATATATATATATATATATATATATATATATATATATATATATATATATATATATAGAGGGAGTGACTGAGAGAGAGGGAGCATAAAACACAAATAAATGTAACAAAATTTAAAAATGAACTAAAAATTAGCATAAAATATGAATTTACCCAGACCATGCATACTTTGCTAATCCAATTAATGGGGAATCTTGATTTTCTGTTGTTTTAGGACAAACCATACAATCCAACCCTTTTTCATGACATATCTTTACAAAAAGAACAAAACTGTTAAAAACAAAAATTATGAAAAGGTGTAAAAACTATTTCTAAATGTTTTAATTTCGTAATTAAAAAAAACCTTGCAGACATAAACTTTATTTTCAAACTGTGCTTGATATATACAACGCTGAGATGTATGGTGTGGAATTTTATCTTCTTCATGATTCATACTTAGCTCACATCGTAATCTAAATAAAAGCATCTTTATTATCATCTTAATCACAATGTTTTGAACATCATCATACTATTTGCAACATCATCATACTATTGCACTTACTTGCACGATTGACAAACAGAAGTACATGTAAAATACTCATCAGGAAAACTATTTGGAATAATACAATTGATATCATCACCAAACTTTTTGTTCAGTTTCTGAAATATTTATTTGTTAACTACTAAACAGTTTTCACGATTGAAAAGATCATTATTGTTCTTTTATTTATTAAAAACCATTAAAACATTTTAGTTATTAAAAACACACCATTAAAACATTTTAGTTATTAAAAACACACCATTAAAACATTTTAGTTATTAAAAACACACCATTAAAACATTTTAGTTATTAAAAACACACCATTAAAACATTTTAGTTATTAAAAACACACCATTAAAACATTTTAGTTATTAAAAACACACCATTAAAACATTTTAGTTATTAAAAACACACCATTAAAACATTTTAGTTATTAAAAACACACCATTAAAACATTTTAGTTATTAAAAACACACCATTAAAACATTTTAGTTATTAAAAACACACCATTAAAACATTTTAGTTATTAAAAACACACCATTAAAACATTTTAGTTATTAAAAACACACCATTAAAACATTTTAGTTATTAAAAACACACCATTAAAACATTTTAGTTATTAAAAACACACCATTAAAACATTTTAGTTATTAAAAACACACCATTAAAACATTTTAGTTATTAAAAACACACCATTAAAACATTTTAGTTATTAAAAACACACCATTAAAACAATGTAAAAAACAGATAATAAAAACATACCATCAATGCACAATAAACAACAGATACTGAAAACTTACCACCAATGCATTGTAAATAACAGATATTGGTCTCGGTGACCTCACTGAACTATTATTTAAATGTTTTTGAACTTCTTTGAAAAGAGTTGAAAAATTTGTTGGTTGAGCTTGAGTTTTAGTACCAACATAACTAATTGAGCTGAATGCAGATGGACTTCGTTTAATATTTGCAAAGTTTTCTCTCAATATATCTTCGGGAGTTTGATTGTTACTAAATTAAATACAATAATTTATATTATAAATTACAATAAAAATTTTTAAAACAATTTTTACTAAAATAAAATTTTATATAAAACAATGCTATGATTCAAAAATAAATAATAATTTAAAACTAAAAACAATTTTTACTGTTTTGAAAATGAGTTAATACTATTATCAAAACCAAGTGGTAAAGTGTAGTGCGTCTCTTGAAAAATAATTATTGTGGGTCCTAAATTACAGAGAGGAGTATCATCCATTTTTCCTCGCTTCTTTACAGATTTTAAGTCACTTGCAAAATATTTCAAATAAGCTTCTGAGGCATCACCAAGAAATAAAAACATATCACTATGAAGCCTTTCAGCTCTTGTTCTATAAATTACAACATCAGATACAGCCAAAACTTTCAACAAAAGTCGCATCCGCTTATTTGAATTTTCAGATACTCCAAGTAAACCTTCAGTATCAAGAATCAAAACTTTGTTATTTTTATCATATGCAGCCCACACACCAACTGTACAAGATTTTTGAGAAGAAGATGTATCAAAAACATCAGCACCATTAAAAAATGTATGATTTAAGGTGTGAGATTTGCCATCACCAGTATTACCAAAAATAGAAACAACTTTTACACGAGGATTATCTTCACATTGAAGATTTTGCAGGAAATGAGTTTCTGTAGTCTAAACAATTTACAAAACAAAAATATTTTTTCAACAAAAACTTAAACAGCAAACAATTCAAAACATAAATTTTAAAAAGTTGAACAATTTGATAAAATAAAAAAAATAAAATTTTTAAAACTTTAAATTTTTATGTCAATTTGATTTACACTTGTATAACTCTAAAGCCAATGTTGAAATAACTAAGCAATTCTATAAAAATGTTGAAATAACTAAATAAATAAATAAATTTTACAAAATTTTTTAAAATATATATATTCTGTAAAAAATTTCTTTAAGAATCATTAGTTTTTTCAAATTCTTTAATAAAAATTTTTAATACCAGCCACATTATTGATTGTACAATCTAAATTAATCGCTGAAATGCAAATTTTATCATGAATAATATAAATGACAATTGCCAACTCCAACCAACATTATAATTAAGTGAATGAGTTAGGGAAGTAGATGATGCAGGAATATACAACATCCCCACAAATTTAAATTAACATATTTTATTATTCATGATTATATATTACTACTTTATTATATGATAAAAGAATAACACAAAAGAATTGTTTATTTAATTCAAAAAAATTTGCTAAACCTATATGGACCATTTTTTTTTAAAACTGCAGTTTTATTTTTAAGTCTATACTGTCTAAACATTTTTAAATCATAAAAGTATCTTATGTCACGCATTCAATCAGAATGCAGATTGTTATCAATGTTATGTCACGCATCCAATCAGAATGCAGATTGTTATCAATGTTAAAACTTTTAAATCGTAAAAATAATTTTTTATATTTTTTCAAAAAATTTTATTTTGCATAAGTTACCAGTCTCCTACAACAAAATAGGTTAAGTTGTTAATGTTGAAACTTATTACTTGATTTTTTTTATTTGAAATTTAACTAGAATTTTAATATGAACTTAATAAGAATATAAAAAATACAAAATATTTCATGGTTAAAACTATAAGCTTGTAAAATAATGAATAAAAATCAATACTTTTATATTTTGAAAATTATAAAAACTTAATTATAAAATGTATACTAAAAGCCAAAAGTTTATAAAACTTATTTGATTAAAAAGAAGAAGGAAACAAAATTTAATTGTTTATCATTTAAAAAAATGTTTTTATACATAACAATGTACAGTATTTCTGGATAGACACTGTATTCATGATTATTCATGTTTAACATTTTTTATCTTATTATTAATCTTGCCTTGGTTATTACATTAATTGAAACTTATACCAAGTCACCTAGAAAAAAGATAGTTAAAAAATAAAATTGCAATACTGAGTACATGTAGAAGGAGCTTGTAAACCTTGTACCATAATCTTCCTGGTAGTATCCAAGGTAAATGCTTGTACCATAATCTTCTTGGTAGTATCCTTACTAAATTCTTGTACCATAATCTTCCTGGTAGTATCTTCACTAAATCTTTGTACTGTAATCTTCCTAATAGTAATATTACAATAAAAATAGTGCTGATCTGCAAAATAAGAATTCTTCTAAGTTCTTCAAAACACCAGAATGAGTATCTAGTTGAATAAGATTGTTTCAACTTTTCCATAATGCATATTTAAATATAGAAAATGACATTATAAAAACTTTTCAAATCACAAAAGTGTGGAACCATGGACATAAAAAAGAAAAAATTAAAAAATTGTAAAAAAAAAATAGCATTACAACATTATTGCAAAATATGAATGTTAAAATTTACAAGTGGTTTAAATTGAACAAGCTTTCACTTGATGTTTGAAATCAAAATATATAAATATTGCTAGGAGTAGACCTAATAAATGTAAAACTCATCAATTTTAATGTTTATTTAAATAAATTTAATTTACGAACAATTGTAAAGCTTATCCACAGTTCTCTTTCTGTAATTGATATTTCTTAAGAGATATAAGTATTTTTAATTTGATAATTCTGCAATCATACAAATTATGGTATTTTTTCATTATTATTATTATTTTTTTTTTACTTCTGGTTAAAAGTGTACACAATGTGAAAAAGTACATCATTTTGCAAAAGTATGTAGATCCAAAAAAATCACTTTACTACCGATCATGTAAAGCAAGTTGTTTAAATTAAATACTGGAGCCCAATGTAACTTTATTTCATATAACATTAACATCTCTATTTCTGCAAGACCTTCTCCTATAAAAACAATAAAAAAATTAAAATCATATAGTGGAAATTTTATTCCTGTGCTAGTTAATTGCAACCCGACTGTTAAAAATAATAATACTTTATATATATGCCAACTTTTTGTTGTCTCACTTTCTGATGAAAAACCACTAATTGGCCTAAAATTCTACAAATCATTTGAAATACTTAACATTAATGATTTTGTAATCCATAAGGGGAAAGTTTTAAAGTATTATTTTGAAGTTTTCACCTTGGTTAAAGGAAGCAAAAATTGTTAATCCAGTCATTCATGCACCAAGGAAAGTACTAGTGACTGTCCTACCTAAGCTTAAAAGTACATTTGACCGTCTGGAAAAAGCTACAGTTATCTAAAAAATTTCTAAACCAACACCTTGGATAGATCCTTAAGATTATGTATTGATAAAAGAAACTTAACAAGTCTGTCTTAAGGCAAAGCAAAACTAATCCATCTACATAAGAAAGCTCTAGCAAACTTTGCAACAACAAAGTTTTAACTGTAGTAGACATGGCGAATTGCTATTGTCATATAAAATTAATCAAACCTTAATCAGAGCTATGCACATTCAACACTCCATATTAAACAAATAAAATTTAACTGTATACTTTTGGAATATTGTGTGCATCTGATGTTGCACAAGAAATAATTGAACTTAACTTCGGTGACATTTCTAATGTTATGAATATTCACAATGATCTGATTATTGCAGCTTAAAAAAATGTAGAATATGACAAATTTTGCCAACAAATTTTGCAACAAGCATGTAAAACAAATATCAGATTTAACCTTAAAAATTTTTGAGGTCAGATTAAAAAAATCTGAGTAGGATTTTCACCTGTTTCGATTATCTATTAATTTTAGGTATCTAAGGTGTCAACAGCATCATCAGTCACAAAGGCATACAACTTGATCCTGAACAAAAACTTTTTTTTTGCCTCACTGGATTTCCATTCCAGTGAGGCAAAAAAAATGAAATTTAAAAAAATAATTATTTTTTCAATTTGAAAGATGGAATTCAAAATAAGATTCCTGATATTTTGATTATCCAAAAGGAAAATTATAATGAGTTTTGCTTCATTTTTTAATTATTCAAACTTCACAATAAATGAAAATTTTTTTCAAGACAAAAAACAAAAATTCTTATTTTATGTGCTTCTGATGTTTAAAGTTTAGTTCATGGCCCAGATTTTTTAATCCTTAAAGATAATGATGTATTTTAATATTTCATTATCATAAATTGCAACTAAGTATCTTAGAAGTATCTTAAATTTTTTGCCAAATGGAACAGCGTTTTGAATTTCTGTGCATGATTTAAAAGGTCTAATTATTTCAAAAAAGTATTAAAAAGTTTCAATAAAACTGATTTTTTTTACTTTGCCTATTTTTAGGTTAAAAATAGGCAAAAGTTGAATTGAATGGCAAAAGTATTTTTTTTTTCAATGAAAATTTAGCATTGTTCTTTTGCATCATACACAGACATATCACACATTGAAAAATATTATTCCGTGCATGATTATTAGTTTTTTAACTTTATAACGTTTGAATCACCTAATTGCTGATTTATTGGTTTGTAAATAATTGATTAAAAGAATTTAGAATTAAAATGAACAAAGTTAAGCATTCAATAGTTCAGAAAATATTTAGGAAGAAACATCCAGAATATCGGAATGTTGAAACTAATTGAATGAAAAATAAAAGAGCTAAAATGAGCAACAAGAAAAAGGAGGAAGTACATCGAAAAGATCGCGAAAGAAAGAGGTAAACCAATCTACATCTAATATTGAACAGTCTTTTTTATCTCCACAGAGTTTTAGAAAGGCACTAAAAAAATTAATTCAGCATTAACTGCCAATTCAAACAAAAAAAAATACCTTTTGAAAGAAGTTTGTAAATATGAAAATAGACTACTTTCTGATAATTCAGAATCAGGCCTTGACTATATCGGTTTAGACGATGTTAATTGCAAAGTTCTAGATTTTTAATTGCAAGAAGTAGAATGGCTCATGGTCACAAAGATGTTGTTATTAATAAGAAAACAAAAGAGAAAGTATGACACATCATTTATAAATGTAGAAATCACATTTTATTTAATAAGGTTTTCTTTCAGAAACAAATTCATCACATGCTGATGACCATAGGAGCATATTATGAGCATAATTATTAAAAGTGGGAAATCTAAGTTTAACAATCTGCAGCCATTCTATGTCAAGCTGGTAAACGATCTTCCCCACAATGTTTGTCTTTGCATACACAATAAAAATTTCAGATTTTTAACAAATGCCCTTCAAGTAAAAGGGTATTTGTTGCTACCACTCTTTTCTTTTTAATATTGATGGTGCTTTTATGGCAATTTATAACCAATCAGAAATGGTAAAAATTGTTAAGAAACGATCATCTTCATTATTGGTAAATGCAGTACTATCTCGATTGTGTTCTGCTGGTAGAACAAAGAAATACCAAGCCAAAGTGTTACAACTAAACTTTTTGTTGAAAATTTGATATTATAATTTTCTTATCTTTAATATAATATATTAACAATATATTATTCATCTTTAATATAATACATTAAAATATTGTTTAAAAATGTGCATTTAATATAATAAGATATATATGATATTTATGATAGTCATGCATGTTCAGTTTGTTACTTTTTGTAAAAAAAGTAACAAACTGAACATGCAAACATTACTCATTATACTGTGTGTGAACTTTTTACTGTGTGTTTTGTTTTAAAGATACATCATAGAATGTTGTAACTTTGTAATGATCTTTAAGAATGCTTATATAATTACCTTTAAAAAACAAAACACCTGTCACTGATACATTTTCAGAGAAAAAAGGGTTCATTTATAATTTTTTGTTTGTTTTTTTCTGTTCCCTTGTGTGACCATTAAAAAATTAATATATTCTATAATAAAGCAACCCATAGCTACCATACTTTGTAAAGGAAATTAAAATTAAAGTCGGAGATTACAAATTGCCTTATTTTCAAAATAATTAATGCAACAGATGCAATGTTCCACGCGTGATTTTTTAGAAATGCCCAAAAGCCATATCTTTACATGCATGTCAACCAGATTTGCAATGCCTCTTGAAAATGGTCAACTATCTTCAAAATATTATCCTTAACAAACAACAACACATAAGCTGTGCAAAAAAAAATTTAGGGTTGTTTTTTTTTTTTGTTGCTTTGTTTTTTTTGTTTTTTTTTAGTTAAAGTAAAATTACAAAAAATAACACTTTGTATTCAAAAATATCTAAATAAGAATATAAGTAATGCTTTTAATCAGAAATACAATTTTAAATTTGGAAATAGATTAATTATAAAAGATGGGTTAATTGACTAACCTTTATAACTTCACTGCCATCAATAAGAAGAAAACTCTGGCTATTGCCTTCATTTGTAACATTAAGTTTAGCAGCATTTTTGAATGAATTTGATTCAAAAACTTTTCCATTTTTATTTTCTGACTTTAAAGGTTCTTTAAGGGATGGAAGATTTTCAAATGAATGTTTAACTTTGGCTCCAGAATGAACTTTTTTATTACATTCTCCACACAAAAACATATCCCCACACTCCTTGCAGAAAACAACAGATTTTACTTTTGTAAAATTACATTTATCACAGTAAGAAGAATCATTTTTTAAAAAGTCATTACTACTAAAAAGTATTTCATCGGGTGCCATGTTGTTCATCGTTTCCTCTTTATCTGAGGTAATAAACGATCTACTGCATGAAAGCTTTTCCATCGTTTTAAGATTCGACAATTTCTCGTAAAAAATGTTTTTTAAATATTAACATATTTTTTTTTTTTTAATAAAAATAAATAAACTCAAAGACATAAAAGATACACAGCTCAATTCTAAAAAATAAAAAGTATTTCAACAAACTTCTTCCTTAAACTTAAAGAAAAACTTTCAATCTCTTGTTTACAGCTATTTGCAAAATCAGCAGTTTTTACATTGTTGTCGTACTCATCCCTCTTTTTTTATTGGTCAAAATAACGCTAAATTTTTTCAAATCACCCCGTCTTGAAAATACATTTAGCCGTATGCGCTGATTTAAAAGACATAGTTATGTATGTAGCAGTGAATTTAATTTTTGCCTTGTATCTAGTTAAATACAAGGCAAATTTAGAGACTGAAAACCATTTAGTATATGGTTTTTGAAATTGATCAACTGTGTCTCTTTTTTCTTTGTCATAATTGTCGATCAAGGCCGGCGCGATAGGGGTGTGTGACCCCCCCCCATCAATTATTTTTAGTCGGCAAATGTGACCCTTTTTGACTAGTTAGTCGGCAAATGTAGACCCTGTCGATAGGTTAGTCGGTAAATTTAGACAGTCAGTCGACAAATGTCGTCATGGCAGTCGGCAAATTTTAAAAATGGTGGAACTTTTTTTTTTTTTAAATTCGGCAAAAGTTATAATGCCCCCCCTCCCCCCTTCACGTGACATCTACTCGTGCCGGCCCTGTATTGAACTTATCAAGTTACCTAAAAAAAGGAAAGTATGATTTAAATCCCAAATATGGATACAAGTAGAAGGAACCTAAAAACTTTGGACAGTAGTTTTCTTCATGGTGGTATTACGATAAAAAACTGACCTTAATAGTATATTCCCATATACTAATATAATTAGACTTGCTTTTAACATTGAGTAATCCAAAATTAATGCAAAATTAATCCAAATAATCTTTTCTAACACTGTTAGAAACTCTTTTAAATTTAATAACCCGTTATAATCACAATGCAGCATGTTTAATTTTAAACCTAAATTATGGTAAAAAGCTGTATAAAATAAAAATAAAGGAATTCCATTAATAAGCAATATTTTTAAAAACAATAGCTTGAGTATAACTTTTTTTCATATGTTTTATCAACTTGTGATAGCTAGTCTAACCAAAGAAATATGAAAAAAGTAGTCAGCAGCTTTTGAGGATTTGCTTCCACCCCTCATTTTATTCTTAGAATTGTCTCTGATTTGATGTAAATCTTTAGAGGTAATATTTCAATGATTTATTTCGCTTCTTACACAGTTATGGCGTAAAAAATTCAAACACTAACAATTATTATAGATAATTATTACTTATAAATGAAAAAGCACGAAGCAATCATGTGTTGCTTGGCAAACCCTGGAGGAGAAGTAGATTTAAGCCAAAAAAATGTCCGAGAGTCATGTTCTTAAAAAATACAAAACAGTATAATAATTTTTTATAGTAATAAAAAAGCTACAAAATAAACCTAAACACAAAGGATTTACATAGGAATCTAAACATTCCATTTTTGCATCACTTAGTAGTTATATGTCGAGGAAAGAAACTTTAGAGCTGTTATGAAAACTCTAATTCAGTCTGGAATCCCATTCCCTCATTAGTTCCATTAATTTTTTATTAGAAGCAAGAAATCCAGCATTTAAAACAAGCTCTAGGCATATTTTGCGATATCGGTAAGGAAGGAAAGTTCCTAGTTAAATGCTCTTACTCGGTGCTCTGTAATTAGAACGTTAGGTCTTCTTGACCTAAAACAAAAAACTAAAAAAAAAAAAAAAGATATTATTTTTTCACAAACTTCTAGTTTAACAATCTTTTGTTGTCGATATACAAGAACTATGCCTTAGTTTTATTTAATGGTTAGACGTTTTTTACACTAGTAAAGGAAATAAGGGTCAAAACAGTTCAAATTGTGTTACCAACATGAAACTTGGTGAAATTGCTGCCAAAAGCTATACAAATTGATAGAGAAAAGGACTTAAAGAACTTCATCCTAGAGTGTAAAAATAGCTTAAAATAAAAGCGGAAACGATGCACGTGGTCATACTGTAAATATTTTATAACACTACACAACTGAATAATTTTATTAGGTAAGTACAAACAGTGTGTGTAGACAAAAAAAAGACGGTTTACCACTGATCTCTATAATAATTGGTAAGCGCATCTTCTGAGAAAATTCCTAATTTTTTGAAGCCAAACAACGCCATGTTGGAAAGCTCTAGAATTTTAATTTTCCGTTAGTTTCAGTGTTAAGAGTATGTTTGCGCTTTAAATTATTACGTAGTTTCAGATTTAAAAAGTAAAGACAAAAATATAAGTGGATTAAAAAAAGATCTTCGAGGTTCAGAATGTTCTGCATATGGGTACAAAAAAAAAGAAAAAGAACTGGGGGAATAAGAAGCAATAGCTCAGGAAGCTCAGATGAAGTATCTGGTGCTAAAAGAAAATTATCGAGGTCTTTTTATGTGTATAAAATTATTACTTGTAGTTCATGGTAGTGGTAGTACATCAGTATTATAAGATTATACTGTTATAGTATTATAATATATTGATCTTATAATAACATAATAGCAAAAATATTTATCAATTCAGGGAGAACTCACAAAGGAGTATTTCACGCATCGACAGAGGGCTTGGGTTTGGGCCGGGTTAAGGTTAAGGTTATAATAACATATTGTTATATCTCTATAAATTTTTGTTTATTATATATATATATATATATATATATATATATATATATATATATATATATATATATATATATATATATATATATATATATATATATATATAATAATAATATATATATAATAATAATATATATATATAATAATATATATATAATAATATATATATAATAATATATATATATATATACATATATATATATATATATATATATATATATATATATATATATATATATATATATATATATATATATATATATATATATATATATATATATATATATATATATATATATATATATATATATATATATATATGAATATAAAACTCTGAAATAATAATAATTCAGAGTTTTATATTCATACTTCAAACCACATGTGTGTTGTTGGATCTTTTATACTTTGGTCAAAGAAAAACAAGCACCACTTCAATACCTTTTAACATACATGTTTAGTCAGGATAATTTAGAGCTTTATTTTGGAGCGATTTGCTCGTCTGGTGGTTTTAATAACAATCTAATTTGTCAATAATTTATCGCCGCATATAAAAAACTACTTCTTAGAAGTAGCATTATTGGTGGCAGTGGTAACTATAAAAATAAAGACCCAGTTAATATACTTCCTATGTCAGATGACTCTAACAGTAAAAAAATTATTACAATCGCCACTATTATAAGAAAGTATAACCAGATAATGTAACACCACACATTACTGATCATGGTTATTATGAAATACCTATTGTGAATATATTATAGAGTACAAAAAATCGGCTATATTATGTATATCTGGTTATGTGGCAAAAATGGTAGGAAAGCAGTTAGCGTGTAAAAGGGTCCGATTAGCCGACTAAGGGTCCAGTTTGCCGACTAAAAACCATTGATGGGATGGGGGGGGGTGTCACACCCACACACCCCTATCGCGCCGGCCTTGTATATATATAAACATTATTTTTCCCCTCGTATTATTTTATAATAAATGTATTAAAAATTTTTTATATTTAAAATGCGAATGTGGGTTGTAAAGATGAAGTAAAACATATTTTTATAATCAAAATAAACATATATAACATATATGAAAACATTACAGCGCAGCGTTTCAGAATCTATTGTTTCCTTGTAAAAACTAAATTTACTCGAGAAGAATTTATTTTAACTTATTTTCTTTTTTATTTTGTTCGTTTTTTATGATGCCAAATTATTTTTTGTCCAAATATCAATTCCACAACCATTTGCGTTTCTTATAAATTCTGTTGTTTCTGTGCAATGTTTGATTTTTTAGAACACAAACTTTACGCAATTTGCGACAGTAATATAAAATTATCAATTAAACCATAGTCATAAGAAATAGATAGTCTGGTCACTCGGGCCGTATTATGTGATTTTTTTAACATTTGTTAAAAACCGGAAGGCTGAATAAGCGCGAATTGGCATGTGTGCGAACTGGCATATGTGCGAAGCGTTGCAAAAACTGGCATAAGTGTGAACTAACATATGTGCAAATTGGCTTAAGTGCGCCAAAAGATTTTGAAAACATTTGCATAAGTGCGAATTGGCTTAAGTGCGAACTGGCATAAGTGTGAAGCAGTTGCGAAAACTAGCACAAGTAAGAACTGGCATAAGCGCGAATTGGTATAAGTGCACCAAACAAATTTGCAAACATTGGCATAAGTGTGAATTAGCATAAGTGCAAACTGGCATAAGTGCGAATCAGTGCGCCATTGTATTTTGTACTTATGCCAATTCGCACTTATGCCAATGTTTGCAAATTTGTTCGAGCACTTTTGCCAATTCGCACTTATGCCAGTTCGCACTTGTGCATGTTTTTGCAACTGCTTTGCACTTATGCCAGTTCGCACTTATGCCGATTTGCACTTATGCCAGTTCACACTTTTTTACCAGTTTTTGTAACTGTTTTGCATTTATGCTAATTCGCACTTATGTCAATTCGCGCTTATACCACGCCATTCGCACTTATGAAATTGGCTGTTCCTAGGTGTTTTAATTAAATGAGGGACATCAGAAATAAAATTTTATCTTTTTATTGTCATTATCAGCAAATAAATTATCATTGCGATAAGTCACATGACCATTATTATCTTCTTTCTCAGCCAGATTAAAATGCATTTTCTATGATGCTCCATTACAGGTAACTACTACTACTTCTAAACCAACTGAGATTTCTAAATAACTACAGCTTTCTAAAATAGAGAAAATAATTGCACTGATGTAATATTTATAGTAGCAAAGTTTGAAAAACTGTATTTGAAAAGATTTACAATACTTTTTATTAGGAAAACTAATACATGAGACGCAAGTTTGTCTGCCTGTTGTAATGTTGCAAAATTAAATTTTTTGCCCAAATCAACACAACCAATTAATTCTCCAGAATGTTTGTCCCAAACAAGATTTTCTTGAATTTTCATTTCATCACGAACTAGGATAATAAACTTTTC